GCGGAGTTAGGGCTTGCACATCAAAAAGATGTCTGGCACAAGGCAAGAGCACTTTACAAGAAGTTTCTGAAACTATTGGTAGATGTGCTACGAGAACCGATGGAAGTTGAAGCCGCAACGTGCACTGGGGATTTGTGGTTGTGCACTGCCGCACAGTTATGGGGGTGGCTGAAACAGCACGGCGGTGCAACAGAAGGTCTAAGTGGCAAGTCATCAAAGACAGATCTCATCAAATCTGTATGCCCAACCCTCGGTAAGTTTGCATACGAACCAAACGCTGTGCCGACGTCGAAGTGGAAATTTCCTGATTTGCGGAAGGTACTACGGGTGAAGGAGCGTGGAGGGGGGGGGCTGGCCAGCGTGGCCAAGCGCCAAAAGACAGCGAGGGATGGGCTGGGACAAGGCGATGTGGGACATGAACAGGCTGTGACTGTGGAAAATTCCCCGCCTGTGCCGACATCAGGAGCGGATGGACCCCCTTACAGATGTCACACGACTGTCGGTGCAACCACGGCAGAACGCGCCTCGAGTGTGGATGCAGCCACGGTTGCGCAGCCGTCTGGTGCATCCATACCGGAGCAAGTCATCAACTTCCAATGGGCCGGTGTGCAACAACTCTGGGAGTTCGACCCACATCCAACGCATGGTGTTCCTGTGTCTGCGGAAGCCGAATACGTGTGGCTCACAACGGATACAATGATGGATGGAGAGCCAGAATGTGCGCCAGGGGGTGGAGGAGCGGATGAAAAAGGTGAGATGGGGTTTGGGCATGTTCCGGTCTTGTTTTGGGCAAGCATGCCATCATCGATCTTGGACATCCATTCTGTACATTCGAGTAATTTCCGCACTTTCTAGCCACCATCGTTCAATTCCTGTCCATCTCGTACCATCCGGTCATTTCCCACATTCCAGCCACCTTTGTTCCTTGCTGTCCATGTCGTTCCATCAAGTCATTTCCCCAGTTTCAAGCCACCATCGTTCAATGCTGCCTATCTCGTACAATTTGGACATTTTCCTCCATTTTGTTCCAACTTTGCGCCGCGCTCTCCATCTCTTATCATCCAGTCATTTCCCCACTTTCTCACCACCATCGTTCATTGCCATCTCGTACCATCCAGTCAATTTCCCACTTTCCAGCCACCGGGGGTTCCATGCCCTCGTTCATTGTACCATCCAGTCATTACCCACTTTCCAGCCACCAACATTCATTGCTGTCCATCTCGTACCAAGCAGACATTTCCCCACTTTCCTTCATCCTGTGCTCCTTGCACTCCATCTCGTACTATCCAGTCGTACCGGGCAGTCCATTTCGTGCCTTGCATCGCATTGCCCTTGGAGAACGCGGTTCACAAGCTCTCTTATGCATTTGCCATTCGTGTGTGCAGAGCAAGAGGAGTTGCATGCTTCTTCTATGGACACGATCGAACCAGCCAACGCGGATGACAATTTGCGTTGGACCGAGAGGGGTAGTGCTAAAAAGAAGCGTGGTGAGTCCGGCGCGGGCCTAGTTGACGAAGAACCGTACTATGAGGTGACGCTGGCACAACGGTGGAGTACGCACTTCAACCATGTGATGGTGAATTGCAATACGATGGTGAAGAGTGGACAGACCCCATCAGCGGAACGTGTTGCACATCAACTTGCCGTGTCTGCAGACCATTGGGCAGGGATTCACAGCAGCTGCGGGCATGCGGGTGAGGTACCTCGATGCGTGTCAGAGAAATGGGGACCGGAGAGTGCAGTTTACAAGCCCAACTCTGAGGCCCATCTGGCACTCCGAGAATGGCTTGCTGACCATTGCAGTGCAAAAGAAATGGAACCCTACGTGCAGGGCGCGAGTAACTGGGTGAATGAATCATTTCATTCCCTAATAATCAAGTACGCACCGAAGCGGATCCATTTTCAGAAGAGTATGGTGGCTAGAATAGGTCTTTCGGTGTTGCACTGGAACCAAACGGTGTCACGTCTTGTTGTGGCAATCAGGACACGCGTGCGGAAGGCAACTAGGGTAAGGCGTGGTAGCAAGGAGTGGATCTTGTCGGACATGGACTGGAGCTGGTTGGACAAGCTCATGGCTGATTAGCGTGATATTGGGCTGGTACGGGATGATGCAGCGCCGTCGACTCAGCGGGATGAGGAGGCTGAGTTGACGGAGCCGCACTCTGTTGATGCAACCCCTGATACGCCAGTTTCTGCTCACGCTACCCCCCCTCGGCCGGTGGATGCAGAGGCAACACCTCTTGGTCTTTCCCAAACACCGCACCCTCCTACTCCCCTAGCTGGAATCACTCCCACCAATGCCGCAGTCACGCCAGCCACCCCCGTGCCCACCAGCTTCATTTTTACCACCCCTAGAGGCCCCGTGACGCCAACTTCTAGGGCGGCTCGAAGCAGGAGGACGCGACGCAATCTCAACCAAATAGCTGCATGCAGACCACTCTTCCGTATGTGCATTTCCACTGTCTTTGCTCTGGTTTGTGCAGATTGTATATGACGACTCTCGACGATTAAAATGGCAACTATGGTATTGCTCCTGTTTGTTTTTGTCTTGCCACATCTTCAGGGAATGTTACAAACCTCAGATGAGGTGGTCCAGGTCGTACCACGTGTGCGTCGCCCCTCCAAACGCGCTCGACAGATATCAATCCGGTATGCCAAGTGTCGTTTTTGGAGTTCTATGGCACCTTGCTTCTCGCAACACATGTCCTTTCCAATGTTTGGCTCTTCTACTAATCCACATGTACCCAAACCATGCCCCCAACCATTCACTTCATATCGTGGCCCTATGGAACCCATACCACCATGTGTTCTTTCTCACACTAGACCATGCATCACTGTCACCCTGTTTGGTTCACGCCGTCATATTGTCTTGCTGGTTGAGCAGCATGGGAGCCTGCAGATATTGCCCCCCATAACTTAGGCAACACATCCTTTCCCCACCCCCCAACCCTTCACCTCCTATATAAGCCCCTTTACTCCCACATCCCCTGCCGAAGCCCATGTTGTTCTCCTCTGTACAGCTGCGTGACCCGGTTTGTGTGTCATCCAGTGACTCTACGGTGGTAGCTGGATGGCTGGCATGGGCGGAAGCAGATATGGCAGCCCATGCCTCACGCCGTACACACCCTTTATTCCCACCCTCATTCTTCACCTCCTGTTTTGTCCCTTTGTGCTGCCATCCCCTCATGCCCCCCGCTGTTTTTTTCCTATCACCAGAGGCTAATGGGGTTTGCCCACGACCGAAGTGACTCTACGGTGGTTCATGGATGAGGAGCATGGGCGGATGCATATGTTGCAGCCCTTGCTTCACGCAAGAGACACCCTTCCACCACCCCCTCACTCTTCACCTCCTTTTTTGTCCCTTTGTGCTGCCATCCCCACACGATGCCCGCAGTGTTTTCCTATCACCAGAGGCTAATGGGGTTTGTGCACGATCCAGTGACTCTACGGTGGTAGCTGGATGAGGAGCATGGGCGGATGCAGATATTGCACCTCCTGCCTCACGCAAATAACACCCTTTCCCCACCCCCAAACTCTTCACCTCCCTTTCTGCCTCCGTGTGCCGCCGTCCCCTCATGATGCCCGCATTGTTTTGAGTAACATGGGATACGGTTTGTGAGTGTTCAGGGACTCTCTAAGGGGGTTGATGGAGGAGCAACAGGGGTGGATGCACACATTGCTTTCCACTGCCTCACGCAACACACCATTCCCCTCCCCCCCCCCCCCCCCTTCCCCCCCTACCTCCTGCCCCATTTGTCATTGACAACCAACGCTTGACATAGCCTACATGATTACCATCTCGACACGGGTGCGATATCGCGCACCATTGATGGTCCTAAACGCTAATCTGTAAGGTACTCTCAGCTGCCCCAAGCGTCTCCTCGCCCCCCTATACCCGCCCCCCTATATCCAACCATGTCTTATTCCCATGTCGTCCCCTGTCCGTGTATGTGTTATTCTACAGAGCAAGCGTGCAGCGATGGGCATTGCAGATATGTGGAAGGCACCAAGTGCACACCTTGATTTTACACTAGTAATTAGTCATACGCCTTACATGGATCTTTACGGTATTTGTTCTGCACACAATCACTCGCGTGATACAAGATCAGACATGAGTGCATTAGCCACTCTACTTCTGTTGAGACCAAAATTGCAACAAATAATACAAAGTATAGAGTCCTAGGCACAACTATCACCGCCACAATCCGGTGCGACGGTTTAGCCATCCACCCTAGACGCTGTAACTCCTGACTCAAAACTACGCATTCCAAAGTCTATGTCTTCGGGTGGATCCCACTCACCCAAGAAGAAATCAACATCCGACTGCATGCAATTCCGGTAGCCCTCGTTCATTTGGACGGTCTCGGGGTACAAAGATCCTATCACAACGTACACTAACCATGGCAGTTTTACGTGGGCCTCTTGATCGTCTCCAAGCAGGTCGGAAAAGCGTACGTAACACCTGAACCTGTGATTCTTGGGAAGCATGGGACGGCCGTTGTTGGATGTTTGCGTGTTCTTCCCACAACATATGCGCACAACTGCTTCGACCGTTCGTATGTTGTCGGCCACATCGCCTTGGCTCTCTTGGGGCAGTTCTAACTCCTCTATAGCCCACTTCTCGAGAACACTGTTCTGTTTGGGGTAGACCCGGGCAAATTCTTCAAGGGACCACGACTCGCTGGCTTCCAGCAGTACAGTTGGTTTGCCAGATGGTATGTGAGAGCGCCGCAGAAGAGGCTTGATATGGCCTAGCTGGCTGCTGGCTCGACTCCGCCCCCTCCTCATGCCACCACCCACTAATCTGCGGTTCTTCCATGGCTGTCCACGATCGTCGCTGTCCGAATCACTCTCCAATTCATCAGTTAGTCGTGTGCCCAGAGACAATCCCTTATGCCGAGTTCTCCGATCCATGTTCAAACTGTGGGGCACGGAATCTGTGGGAATGCAGATGGGGTGAGTTGGGGACACAATAAGGAGGGGTTGAGATTTGACATTACATGGTGGTCCGTGATGAAGAGGAGCATGGGACCATGGGTGCAGGGGAGCATGGGACCATGGGTGCAGGGGAGCATGGGACCATGGGTGCAGGGGAGCATGGGACCATGGGTGCAGGGGAGCATGGGACCATGGGTGCAGGTCTGCATGGGACCATGGGTGCAGGGGAGCATGGGACCATGGGTGCAGGGGAGCATGGGACCATGGGTGCAGGGGAGCATGGGACCATGGGTGCAGGTCTGCATGGGACCATGGGTGCAGGGGAGCATGGGACCATGGGTGCAGGGGAGCATGGGACCATGGGTGCAGGTCTGCATGGGACCATGGGTGCAGGGGAGCATGGGACCATGGGTGCAGGGGAGCATGGGACCATGGGTGCAGGGGAGCATGGGACCATGGGTGCAGGTCTGCATGGGACAGTCCTACAATGGGAGTGAAACAGTCCTACAATGGGAGTGAAACAGTAGGGGAAGGGTGGGTGAAACAGTGGGGGAAGGGTGAGTGAAACAGTGTGGGAAGGGGAGTGGGAGCATGGTGGAAACGGGAGTGAAACAGTGGGGGAGGGGGAGTGGGAGCGTGGGGGGAAGGCGGAGTGGAAGCATGGGAGAATGGGAGTGTAACCGTCCATGGAATGGGAGCTGACCCGTCGGGGATTCGGAGTGTAACAGCAATGCATGTTGCATTGGAGGCGTGGGGGAAGGGGAGTGGAAGAGTGTAGGAAGGGGGAGTGTCACAGTGGGGGAAGGGGAGTGAAACAGTGGGTGACGGAAAGTGAAGCGCGGGGGCGGGGAGTGGAAGCGGAGGGGAAGGCGGAGTGGAAGCGGGGGGGAAGGCGGAGTGGAAGCGTGGGGGAAGGCGGAGTGGAAGCGTGGGGGAAGGCGGAGTGGAAGCGTGGGGGAAGGCGGAGTGGAAGCGTGGGGGATGCTTTGGGGAGCATAAGAGTATCGGATCAGCGGGGCATCGGAGCAAGGGAGAAGCACAACGGGGGAGCAGCGAGGCGCGGGAGGGAAGAAGAGCATTTCGGGAGGGGTTGCCTCCCTTACCGTCTACCTAGGACCTGCTCCCTTGGCGTTCGCGCCATGCAGCCTCTTTTATAACTCCGCATTGTCACATTGTAGCTGCTGGAAACAATAAGTCCTAAGTGCGCTTCTGTCGTACCAAGACCCAAGGCACCAAGCGAAGCAGTCCCAATCGAAGCATCGAGTCAACCTCGGAGGTTAGGGTAACCGCCTGGAGGTTACGAGAAAGTCAAAGGTCGCTGACCTTTGACTCGACAATTACAGCGCAACAGTTAAGGACACACAACTGACTCGTTACAGAGCAGTTGCCCGAGTCGCACTGTATCGAACCGCAACAGCAATACAGTTATCTATCTATCTATTCGTATTCCCTGTACTCTTATATAAATCCTTGTATTTGCTTGTTCAATTTAATCTACTTTGCTCTCACACACCAGTGCAAGGTCGGTTCACAATCCTCATTAAAACGCTTCCGCTATTACAAGTTTCTACCCAAGAGTTCTCCTCTGCAAAGATCCTAAGGGCTATTTCTCAGCCCAACATGGTATGAGAGCTGACAGAGGAAAACTCTAACCTTTTGATCATTACAAGACATGGCAACAAACAAGGAAAGGAGCTCCCCTAATGGCTCCTCGGGCACTACTCCTACTCCACCGCCAGCCTCTGGTCTGCAGACAGAGGAAGGCACGGCAGCAAGACCAAGGGGAACGTCAACCGAGACCCCCACGAACCATCCTTCTGACTTCGACCAGAGCATGATGGAGAAATTTTTCTCCTTCATGTCCTTCTACGAGCAACACCAGCAGTCGGGACCTGCACAGACACACAACAGCAACAACGGAGCGACACCCATGAGCCTTGACGGGTCGTCATACGCGCGAGGGAATCAACAGCAGCAACCCACCTTCGCCCCGTACGAACGCGGGTCGATCAGCTTCCTGCCTCAACCTCCACCTGCGCAAGACAAACCAATGGATGCCTTACAAGTACAGTCGCAGTTCGCGCATGTTCTGAAACTACAGACGTCAAGACCTTTCGACGGAAAGGACTTCTTTACCTGGTCCTTTGAATTCGAGTTGATGATGGAGGGCGCGCAGATACTCGGTTTCTTCGACGGATCCCTGCAGTATCCAGCAAACGGGACACAGTATGAAAAGCAGCAGTATACGTATCAATCCATGATGGCGTATACTATTCTACTAAGAAACATCACACCAACCCAGCAGCAGAACATTCGCTCTTACCGGAACTTCGGCAACTCGGCGGAACTCGCGTACGGCCATCTGATGAACCTGTACCAGGCAACAGACAGTGTAAACTAGAGCAGGTTAATGGCGCAGCTGACAACAGTTGAAATGAAACCAGGAGAAAAAGGGTTGGCGTATATCAGCCGATGTCGCGAATTGCGCGACAAGCTTCTTCGATGTGGAGGGTCAATCTCTGAAGACGCCTTCGTAACAGTCGTCATCGGCGGCCTCGGTCCTCAGTGGCGCGCCACCAAAGCAATTCTTCGAGCACACGGGAGGATCTCCGAAGCGGCACTTTGCGCAGAAATTCACGCCGAGCAGCAGGATATGGACCTGCAAGAAGAAAGACACAAGAAAAGGACATTAGCACCGGAGTTTGCTTTCCATACTCAGCGACGACACAACTACTACAACAATCGACAGCAGCAGCCGAAGTTAGTACCTCCATTTTGTCACATCTGCAAGACATCAGGACACCCACGCACGCACTGCCCGTCTCGACAGACAACACCACAGCGACAACTGCGACCTTCAAGCACCCAAGTTGCTTCGACACAAGCAAGCTCAACAACCACGATTCAAGCTTCAACAACCTCAACTGGACAACCTGCGCAAGGAGCAAGACATATAGTCAACTGCATGGTCAAGATAAACGACTCTTGCATAACAGAGTCACCACCCCATTACTCACCAGAAGAGGAGCTCGACAACAGGACGCCTCGTCGCGAATCACTCCATCCAAATCCGACTTACGCCGCTATCGCTCAAAGTGAACCGTCCGGCCAAGACACCTGGTTCTTGGACAGTTGCTGCGGGCAACACATGTGCTCGTCCGGGCGTTTCGTACAACGCGAACATCGACTCCAACGGGAAGTGATCATCACGGTTGCCAACAACCAAAACCTGCGCACACGAAGACAATGAGTGGTACACCTTCAGTCAAGAGAAACAAATGTCATACTGCACATGTCTAAGGTACTCATCGCTGAAGGACTCGGCTACAACTTACTGAGCGTTAGCCAGTTGATGGCGAAAGGAATTCATCTGGAAGCCGACAGCACGACCCAGGAGTTCAAGCTTTACCACGGGAGAGGCGGTCTCTACATCGGGAAAGCAGTGCTGAAGAACAACGTCTTCGTCCTCGACTTCGCTCCCGACCTCGGCACTGCAGACAGCGACGCCATTGTGAACTTTGCTGATTGGACACACCCTCCGGATCTCGACCCCGACTTCAGCCCGGGAGGTTTCTGGTACTCCCACACTATCCCTGAAGCAGAACGAACAAGAGCGTTAGCAACGATTCAACAAGAAGCAGAGGAGACAACATCAGCAGAGACGACAACATCGGCAGCAGCAACAACATCGGCAGCAGCAACAACATCAGCAGCAGCAGGAACAACGACACCAGTCACAGTCGACGAAGCACCACCAACACCCGCGCAACAGCTGAATCCGACTCAACGTGAAGTCCACCGAAGCGCCAACCTCGTCGCCAGCTTTTACTCCAACTCCGACGCATATCAGCGTTCACCCAGACACCGCGCCTCTGAAGAGATCTGGCACGCACGCACAGGACATCCAAGCAACACGGTTTTGAATAACACGATAAGAGCAGGAGTCCTCGACAAAGACTCTCTACTTCTACCCGATGGCAGAGAACTCCAGAAGGCACGAGGGACTTGCCTTATATGTCCCGAAGCTGACTTACCTCATCGACCGTTTGCTTCACATCACAACCCGAGCGCTCCAGCATACGCACCACTCGAAAAAGTCTACAGCAACATCCTCTACAATCGCGAACCAGGACAAGTCAACTACAACTACACCATCACCTTCATCGACGCCGCCACTCGATACGTCTGGCATCGCAACCTACCCAGCCGCGACATGGCGCTCGCAGCATTCGCCGCCTGGCTACCGATAGCAGAGAGAGAGTCTGGAACACAACTGAAAAATTTCCAGTCAGACGGAGGTGGCGAGTACACCTCTCAGCGCTTCAAGCAGTTCTTGGCGGAAAGGGGGATCAAGCAACTCCTCTCCCTTCCCTACGCACATCAGCAGCAAGGTGTTGCAGAACGACTGAACAGGACCCTGCAGAACAGCATGCGCAAACTGTTACGTGGCATGCGGCTACCCAACCACCAGTGGCCAGCAGCAATGGACCACGCTGTCATGCTGCACAACTTGTTGTCGTCGTCGTCACTCCCGAACAACGCATCACCGCATTTGCTGTGGACAGGGAAGCAGGGCAGCACGAAAATGTTACGAGTCTTCGGGTGCATGGTACAGTACAGACCCCCAGAAGCACGAGCAGGAAGATTTTCGCAACGGGCACAGTGGGGACTACACCTCGGCATCGAGAAAAATTACAACGCATGGAGAATCTTCGACGTCCACACAAAGGAAACAGTAGCAGCACGTGACGTGATCTTCTACGAAAGACTCACCCTTCAGAAGTACCTCGCCAACTTGCACGAAAATCGGGACCTCACCAGTGGTTTTCGTGGTGACCGAGCCTTCGCGTCAGCAGCGGACGAAGCAGACTGGGATGAACAGAATGTCGACAACGCCTCGGAAGAAGCCGGACCTCTCCCATACTGCTCCGTCGACGTGCCCATGGATGAGGATAATCCTCGCGACAGTAACAACGCCGAAATCTTCTACCGTTTCGCCGACGATGGTTACGTAACACCTGTGACAGTCAACACCAACGAAGCAGAAAGGGTAGGGCCAAATTTCATGCCCGACCCAGAAACGGGAGACGAAGCAGCTTATCTCGAGGATCCAGAACTCCCTCGATACTCACAGACTGGGCTGCAAATCCTTGGTCTCGTCACCGCAGTCCATGGCGCCGGCTTTCCTAAGGAGCCTGCGACGGTTCAGCAGGCTCTGGGGGGGGAACACAGGGAGAAATGGCGTGAAGCTATGGACAAAGAGCTGAAGGCACTGGAGGAGCGCAACACCTGGAAAATTGTTCCCATCGGCGTAACTCAAAATAAAAACATTCTTACCGGGAAATGGGTCTTCCGTGTGAAGACGAAAGCTGATGGCACCATCGACAAATTCAAAGCCCGCTGGGTCGTACGTGGCTTCGACCAGGAGCACGGAAGAGATTACACCGAAACCTTCGCTCCGGTCAGTCGCCACACCTCACTCCGAATTCTCATCGCCGTCGCCGCCATGAAGAAAAAGAAATTGCGACAAATCGACGTGAGAAAGTACGAACGAGAAGTGAAATGACTATGAACGAAGTGAGTACAAATAGGAAACCCTAATTGGGTTGTACCCCCTATGGGATACCCCACTATAGCCTACAGAAACAAGTAAGCTATAAGTTCTGACACACCCCCATAG